CGCTCTGAGTTGTCAACGGCATCAAATTGTATCCGTCGAACCGGCCTTGATAAAACAAGTCGGAACAACGAGTTGCATTTTGTACAAATACTATCAAATACTAATCATATATATATATATATATATATATATATATATATATATATATATATAGATTAATTTGAATATTTGATTTTTATAATAAAATTATTTCAATCCATATTTGCTACATAAATATTAAGATAAAATTATAAGATATATATACGTCCTTTTGTCAATATATTTTCAATCAAGGAAGAAATGATTTAGAGATGAAATTGAGCTATCGGATGAAAATTACTGCGAAAAGTATCTGATTACACACAATCATATTTATAATTCTTTTATTTATGGAGAGTGTATGATAATATTCATCTACATATAATTATTGTCGAGCACACAAGTTGATTTAAAATGTAAATTTTATTAAAAATCATCTCATAGTTATTCATTACACTTCTATTTGTCTGCATAAAAATAAATAAAAGTTTATTATTGTGGAATAACTTTTTGAAAGGTAGAAAAATAGAAAAAAAAGAATAAATATATTTATACATATTTATATAATATAAATAGCTCTAAATTTTTGAATATGGATATTATAAACCAATCTTCATATAACTTGTGAGTGAGCACAGATACGCGGTACATTTGGTAGGTCTTCATAAAGTTTCTATATTTGTTCCTAAAATTATAACTAAACGGAACATTACAATTATAATTTATTTAAAATACATTTTTAAATAAAATTATATAATAAAATTGCATCTATTTAAAATTTTTTTCGTTAATCTATATTGTAAGGATTTTATTAAAAAATAGTATTCTTATGACATAGTTTTTAGTACAATGAACATAATTTTAATTGTATTTTTTTTAATATAGCCTCTTCTTTATTATTATTACTACTATAATTCAGAATTTAATTTAATCGAACGTTTAATTCGAAATATATATTTAATGAGTAACTATGTTTATTATAATCATATATAATCATTTAAATTTTGAAACATAGCTATATTCACTAAGTTTTAATATATTTAATCTGGAAAATTTTATAGATAATATAAATTTTTTTTATTATTAATTTAAATTTTACGTTCGAACTCCGTTAAAACTATGAAGTTTATTATATTTTAATTGTACATGAATGAACTGCCTCTGAAAATGTGGAATAGAAACAAAGGGAATTTCAATGAATAAAGTAAAGATTTTTTAACGATAATCACTAATTTTATTGATATACAAGATATACATCGCGGGTAACGCAGGCGGCACTCCTACAAATATAATATGGCATTGCAATATCTGTTAGTTTCGTCGAAAAATACACCTCAAAATAGCGCGAACGCTTCAATGTTATCGCACGCAATATCTACATTTACTATTTTGTTCGGTTTTTCTTTTATAAATATCCTATTTTATTTTATTTGGAATTGTTTTAAATTCGCGCAATAATTTTCGGTTTATTTTTCGACGAAAGTTTTTTAATAATATCAGTTTTCATATGAAGCCTAGCATTAATTAGATTTTGTCTTGATTGATTGAGCCATTATTTATTTAATTTTGTTTATTTATGTTTTTGTCTTTTTCAAAAACTGTTAATTTTTCGATTGCCAGATGTGACTTGATTTTAATATTCATTCTGATGGAGCAATATTTCTAAATAACAATTTTAGTAAAAGATGGACAATGGTTACTATGTTTTCGATATGCATGAACCACCTTTCATGAAAAATATGTAATTTTTGTAAAAATTTAAAAGTTATGTCGTTTGATTAAGACAGATTAGTATGTCCTCTTATACGATAGATAAAAATAATTTCTCAATTTTATTTACAAAAATCTTAATTCATTCAAAGCAAATTGCTTCCATCAGTTTTACTTATTATGTGTATTTTTAAAGCTCATATTTTATTAGATTTAAATAATACTCAACTCGTATTATTTCCAAATTAAATAATAACATTATATTTTAATATTAATATTTAGCATTTCATAAACAAGCTCAGAAAAGCTTAATCTTTTAGAAATATAAATATAAATATTAAGATAATGATTGAAGTAATGGTTAAACCATTTTAAATTAAGTGATAAAATAACTTTTAAATAACAACAATGTTTCAACATTATTTGCAATTCGCTACTGTATGAAATTATACATTATATTTCTAAAATGTGAATATTATATGTATTCTATTATCCAAATGAAGTATAAATACATAATATAGAATATCATTTTTATATTGAACAAGCTGTATAATAATCATATTAATGAAGTTTCGCAGTTTGAAACTAAATGATCGTAAATGCAGCATTTCAGGCTCTGATAATTATTAAAATAAAAAATATTTTTACGTTGAATTGAATTTTAAAAAAAAAATGTTTCTAAAATTTTAATATATTAATATAAGTAATTTATTTTTTGCGTATACATTTATAATATCGAAAAAATATTAGTATTTGGTGTAATTAGTTTTAAAAATTAAAAATAAATGCAGCATAATTTATAATTAACGTTAAAGATAGAAAAAAACTTTTACCAATTATTTAATTATAATTTTGAATACAATTTCAAATATACATTTCATATACTGTTATTTTGTTACTGGATACATAAAAGTTAATAATATAAAGTAGCTCCTTGGTAATTTAAAAATTTTTTTAAAGCATTCAACAATTTATTACCATAATGTAATAGGAACTTTTGTACCAATTTATTTCTAATTCAATTTTTGTGATTCAATTTTTAATATTACTTCCAAATTTTCATCTCTTATATTAATTGAATAGTATTATTGAATTTCGAGAACATATGATAAAAAAATCTTTAGTATAAATATCACCATGGAGTGGCATTAGTATTAACCATACCATTTTTAAAATGAAATAATACTAACACGTTTAAAATATTAAAAATATATTGTATATTTGAAATATGTTGTTCGCATTTTAATATTTGTTTTGTTTTGGTATTTAGTAGCAGAATAAGCCTTAACGCATTTAAATGTTACAATCGATAAATTTATAAGCATAAAGTGAAATAAATTATGATAATTGATAATTTACATGAACGAGTCTTTCCCGATTTATTACAGTGGTGCAATACAGCTTAAAGATTTAATTTTTATATGGATATTTGAAACACAGAAATCAAATCTTTAATGAAATCTACAAAAATGTTGTACAGATCGCCGGTAAAACAAATACTCGATACAATCGAGCAACTTCAACGTCAGCGCTCGAAAAACGATGATAGAATCCACTCGTATGTACTAACGATACATCTAATAATCGAGATAGCATATCATTTGACAACTAAACCAATGCGACATACTTTCTGGTCCATTTTCTCTCTCTTTAACATTGAGTTATGAAGTCTGTTCATTAACAAAGACTTTTGTCGGCCTGGCAGATGCCCTCGGCAGGGGCAAGGAAAAGTCGCCCATTAGCACAAGCACAAAGCTGATAAACGGCAATGCCTTCCGACTTGTTGGTATTACCCTGGCGCTTTCCCGATGATTTGGTCGAGCTGCCGTGTTCTGGGAGAAGAGCCGTCCTGAGACCTTTAAGAAAGACTCTACGCGATTCAATTGTCACTGCTCCATCACGGCTTGTGAGTTTCATATGTGATAGGCAGGTGGCGCTGATTTCGCCGGCTGACGACTCGACGTTTATTCCGTGTGGCGCTCTCACTTCTAGCGAACGCGTTGCTGACTCTAATCTGAAATGAGAAATAGCCGAGTCCCTATATTTATTGGCGATGGGCATTTGTAAGCTTCGATCTCTTTATTCAACTTTTGCAATATATTATGCAGACAATATTTTTATTTTTGATGTGGTTTGCAGACAAAAATCCTGAAAAAAAGCTGAATTTTAAATGATAACTTAAATTTTCTTAATTTTGACATTAGAAGTGGCATTGCGATTATTTTGGTTTCATGGTCTCTTTAATTTAAACAATAATGAGCAAAAATATAATGAAAAATATCATTATCAATTTATTGATCGTTCCCCGTTTTAGATTTCCTATAATTTTAAATGCTGTGACATGTCGTGTTCTGCTAATTAACTACCAGCCACGAATTTTTTTTTCTGTGGGTTAATTAGAATATATTATTGTTATAAAATATTAAATTATTGTAGAATTAGTATGGTCTTGGAATAAATAAAAATTTGATATGTGACTGTAATTTTTATGAAAAAATTTTGAGAACAATTTTGTAAACTACTTTGTTTAATTTTTTATTTCATATTTAAATATAATTATACATTCATACATACATACATTTTATTGAATATTTACTCGAAATTTGTACAGAGTACTTTAAATTAAATTTTTATTATTGTGGATGTCGTTTATTTCATTCATATATAGTTTGAATCATATGTTGACGAATAGCCAAAAGCTTCTGAAATATATGTTGATCGTAATATAATTTATTATTAATTACTGTTTTGCACACAATTTGGTTATTTGGTTTTCATTTTTTTGCTTTATAAATCCGAATAAATAATGTGTATAGAAATTTTTTGCGTATGTATTTAAGTATTATATTATATTTCTTAGTTTATTTATAATTTTATTCTGCAAATAAATTTTAAAATCTTTATAAATGTAAATTGTTTGTATTTTATCTACCTATCTAATGAGCTTATTTTACATATATACTCTTACATACACACATATATATAATTATATATATATATATATATATATATATATATATATATATTAGCATTGATCATGTTTTATTTCTTTTCATTATTATTATATAATGGGATTATAATGTATGTTTAATTATGTAATTAAGCATTTCATTCACTGTGCGATCATAGCAATCGTATATGTCAGAGAAATAATGTAAATGAATTTGAAAGACTGCGATGAGCATGACTATAGTTGGTAGAAATCATCTATCATCACCTTAAATCACGCGCTGCTTCCGAGCTGACAAGGGGGGTTTGGATGCTACCTTCAAAGACTGCACCTCCAACGCCTGTAACCTTAAGAGTCTTCGCTCCAACGACAACATGTTCGTTGTTCGCGGAGAATAGAAGCTCACCATTGGGATCAGTAATTCGGAATGATTTCGACACGCATTCCAACTTATCTTCACCTATAATGAATATTAATTTTATGCTTATATTTTCTTTCATAAAGCCTTACTTATAGATCACAATTATTTTTCATTATAAGACATAACATTCTAAATACCATATTTAAGCTATGTATATCGGTCAAAAGAATCTTCTTCGATTAATTAATATAACTGATTTATTTGGTTAGTTGAATATTCATTGTTTTTTTCATACCTTTCGTTCTTCTATATTACTTTATAAAATTATATTTCCGCGTATATAAAATAATTTTTCAATGTTAAATTAGAATTTGAGATGCAATTTTTAATTATGAAACTTTAATAAATCTTATTTAATATTTGTATTCGTTTTTATATACATATGAATCTACTAAAAAAATATTAGTGAATGTTTTGAAATACTTACCCTCTTTAGCAAAGTTCCAATATTTTTATGTTCAAACAGTGAAATTAATTACTTCGTAATATTTGTTTTGCAATAAAATTGAACTATGTTATAAAAAATATTTTTCATTATTAATTCAAGTTACACAACCTATATGTATAACTAGTTCAGATTACGTCCGAGGATATGGAATACTGTTACGGTTTTATATCTAGAGGGTAGTGTGAATAACCAATTGCTAACAGCTGACGAAAACTAGCTATAGACACGATAACTTTATAAAACTTAAATCATCCATCATGCATAATAACTAATTTAATAAAATTTTACCTTTGCGTGATCAATAAAATATTTCGAACCCATTTTTATATTGAGCCGTCTGTCTAGAGCCGAGTTTTCTAATGAAATGTGAAGTATATATGTAGATAAAATTATATCTATTTCTGTATGATGATGTTTCTCGTATATGCTACTATTATTAATATGTATTTTATATTATGATTTAGAAAATAATGATAAAATCTCAAAATTTTATAAAGCAGAAAATACAATTTCTGTTATGAATATACTGGATGTATTGATGGTTGGGGTTATGAGGATACATTGGTAATTTTAAATGAGAAACGACTACGGTCGAATATCGTTTTACTCTGTTCCAGAAATAGCAAGTGTTTGAATAAAACTGATCACTGTATAATGCAAAGTGTCAGTAAATGTGTAAAAATTCATAACGATAGGGTTATTTTAAATATATGAGCGTGTGGAAAATATTGTCTAAGCTTTATTAAACTTTCTATTATAAATAGAAATGTAATGAATGTTATTTGGCCTAAGTATTTCAGTATTTATGAATTTTATCTCCTCGAAGCTATTTGAGATTTCATGATATGAAATTTTAAAAATTTGTAATAATGTTCTGTTTTTAAACTGCTGCTATGATTATTAATGTGCTTATTCTGGCATAAAAATATAGATATTTAGATACATATAATATATAACAACTGAATAGGCGTTCAATTCATCAATTGGTAAATTATCGCGTATGATATCATTGTGGTGGTGAGAATCCGACAGATGAAGAAATCGTGTATTTTCAAACGTAATGTTTTATAATATTTTACAGATGTATTAATTATAATTTTTTTTATATCTATTTTATTATATTTGCTTATTTAATATTTCATTTATTTTATTTAATGCTTTGCTCATTTTTAATATATTTTATCAATAATGTTTATTGGATTTTCTATTTGATTATATTTACTATTTTTTAATTGCAAAGTTAGTTGTCGTTATTCAAAAGTCCAGTGTCATTTATTATATTATTTGAATTATATTTTCACAATATAATAATGATTTGAAAAGTAATGTAATAAAAAATATAATAAAATATAAAAAAGCTAAATATATTTATAGTTATAATGCCATATAATACCATAAAACCAAAAAATTAATCAAAATCTTCTTATCAAGACTTTATATATAATAATCATTATGATCTTAGTGAGAGTACTAACTAAAAATTTAATACAAATTATTAAATTATGAAAACTGTTGTAAGTATATTTTATTATAGTGAAGAAGTAACTGCGTTTATCTATACTTTTCATAAATAAATTCCTAATCTTTTTTTATTGACAAATTTTATATTCATTGATATATATTAACATATATATTGACTGTTAATGATTATCGGTCATTATCTATTTTAGTTCACATTTTGTACATTTGACAAGCAATATATTTCAGGTGTATTTAAAAATGGATATTCTTTATATAGCTTTCTTTAGTAAATCTGGCATACGTTTTCTTTAAGTTGCTTTTACATAATTGATGGTAATAAATATTTTTAATAGTTTTTTTTTTATAGAATGAATATGAAAATATGATTTGATCGAATTTTAGATATATTTATTTTATAATATAATTGTATAATATAATATAAATAATATAATAATATAATGATAATTCTTTATCAATTATACAATTATTTAATTTACTTTAATCTTTATTTTATTTATAAATAGTTTGATTTTATAATACGATATAAACAAATTACTATTTTTTTGTTTAGATTATTCCATACAATTGGTTATTATAAGTGCTTTAATTTTGGGTAGCATATTTCAAATATTTGCGATACAAAATACAAATACTAATAAGTGCTTACATGCGTCGAACCTATTTTTCATTTCCTACGTTTAATTTGTCTGTCGCTGTTTATTACATCGTTCATTTGCGTGTTCTCCTTAACTGGCATTTGCCCCTTACCACTAACGTCGCTTACCGCTAAGATTGGCCGGATGAACACTTCGCTGAGGACTTTTCGAGAGCTGTGAAATTTTAATATCAAATTCCATGAAAATTACCTTCCTGTCAAGATTGCTAGGTAAGATTGCCGTTTCCTTCCCTATCATTTCGTGGTCCGTCAGCTGTGGCTCGATGTATATAGGGGGTGTGCAGCTTGAATTTGAGAAGGGATAGAAGGATCAGTTTTTAAGGCTACTACAGAAAAATACGGGTTTACAAATGAATTGACGATAAAGGTATTATTGGTCTGTTTGTATGTACAGTGAGGTATGTCGGGTGATTTACTAAATTTGCGATTAAAATGGATTTTCACAATTTACGTTTCTTTATTACTTCGTGTCTTTATATTAAGTGGATAAGTTATTTTGCAGGTATAGGATTATAATAAGTTTGGTTGTTAGTTATTCCTATATTGAAGATTCAATAGGTGAATAGAATTTTCATTAAATTTGTTAATATGATTTAGGTAAATAAAATAAGAAGTAGTAGGTAAATGACTGTTACGTATCTATTCATAATTTTTCTTTTATTTCTACAGTATTTTATTTAAAACTTGTAAAAATTTTATATAACAATTATTTCAATTTTTTAAACAGTGATTTGGATCGATATATTTCGTCAAATATTATTTGAGAAATAAATACATTCAAGTTAACAAATTTAAAATATCTTGCATTATTGATAACTTAGGCTGGACTTACAATTCACCAGATTCTTAGCGTAACCGATTATTAAAGTATTAAAGATTATTAAAGATTATGTAAAATTGATGTACAAAGAATTTTAACTATTTTTATCGAGAATTTGTTTTATTTTTGTTCATATAATATTCTATATCTTTTGGATATTTAAATAGTTATGGCAAGTTAGCTTGATTTTCGTTTGTTACGTATTTATTACGTCCAAATAGCTTTTCAAGTTTCATGAAAAGGTGAAAAAATTTGTTTATTCTTGTATTTAATTTTATACTTTTTCTATTTACAGTTTTTATGATATTTTGAATTGCTAATAACATTTATCCGTTATTGTGAATACATTTATAGTCTAATGAGCTTGTTTGAAAATTTCTCCATTACACCATAAATAAGCAAATGCTGTTAGCTCTAAACAAATTATAAATTCGGAAAATCACATTCTATTTTATAATACTTAAATTATAGTTATCATTTAACACTATTTGGTGGAGTATTAAGCAATCTTCTTTATAATAAAAAGACATGCAAAATTATGGTTAAAAATGTGTAAATTACATCATCGTTTAAATATACCCGGAATTCACTCAATATTTTTAAACTTACCGCAGCCACTAACTCAGTCTTCATTTATCATCTGTCTCAACCTTCGAGCACCTATATCAACCTATTTTTCTCTTCTTCCCTTAATTTCAGCAGGCAGCTACTGATAATTCGTAGGGCTATTTCCCAAGGTCATAACGTGGACTTATAATAATTTGCCCTCGTTTAAGGTCGTTACGGAGGTCTTTTGTATTTTGCGCGTGGAATGGACTCTTATGTGTTCGTTGCCTTCGCGCACAACCCTTGTCTTTCTCCAATTTTCAATTATTTCGAAGCCGCCCAGCCTCGTAACATGAATTTCTCTCCTAGCGACTAGATTGCACCGTTAATGGAATGCAGCTGGAACTCCTGCGCCCGAGCACTTGCTTTTCTTTGAACATATTCGTCCCGTGTAAATAAGCAACTATGTAAGCTATGATTGCAATTGTAACATGTTTATCTTATATTTAAATAAAGTATTTGAAATTTTCGTTTATGATTTGATAATCGTATGGTTAATTAAAATTCTAATATACTTTATTTAATATAGGAGTCTACTATATAATTTATATTATTTATAAATATATTACATTTTGATGTAAGAACTATTGATTTTATTTTAAACTGAAAAATAAATTTTCCACAGATACAACACAATTAAGAATCAATCCTTATTAAATAAAAAAACTATCAAGAAAAAACGTTAAAAAAAGTATTCTGATCTAAAAGCTTAATTTATAAAATGAAAGTAACTTCAGTATAATTCGATAAATTGAATATTCTTAATAGAATATTTTACATAATCTATTAAATCCTGTTCCTAATTCTATTGCATCATATTACCTAATCAACAAAATAAAATTCGCAACATCATATAACTAAATGTTTCAATGTCAGTGGTTTTTCATTCAGCATAACATCGAAGTGTGGAAATATTATAAAATAATTAATAGTCTATACATATTTCTATAATTCAGATTTAACCAGTATTTAAGGAATTTTATTGTTTAACTAGCGATAAATCAAAATTTTATAGAATATAAAAAATACTTGAAAATTATAAATGGCCTAATAAAAATAAAGATATTAGTAATTTTTGAAGGTGCTTTAAATTGAATGGATAAGTAAAATGAGTCAATCAGCATTAAAAGAATACTATAATAAAATAATAAATGAATATAGAGTAATGTTTTTAAATTATTTCAAGCACATAAACTCTACTACGAAGAAGTAACATCAACACAAACTAGTAAATTTTGTTGATTTGTAAATACTGTAAATAAATGTTTATTTATTATATAATGTGTTAATCAATTGTAGTAGAAAATTCAGTTTAAATTTTGTTTAAATAATACAAATTCAATCTATTTAGTGGTATTCAAAAACAATCGATGCTATAGAATATATTCGACAAATTTTAATTAAGTTTTTCAAACATTTTATAAATTGAAATGAAATTTACTCAAATGCATATTCGACTATTTTTTCACTTGCCTTCCATATTCTATCAAATATTAAATGTTAATGCTAATATCTATAGAATATTATAGTTCAATATGTTATTCTCCGTACGTATGTTTTACTTGAAGTAATTTTATATTTGTTTTACTAAATCGCATAATTTTCAATATACTTATGATAAATATTTAAACCATTTATTATAACTGATATAATGAATTATAATAATATGACAAATAATATAATAAATTATGAACTGTTGGAAATATTTTAATTGTTCTTTCAAATTTAATAACCATTCATAAATATTAGATTCATGGGCATTTTATTTTTATCATAGTAAATAATGTAGGAACAGAATTAGTATTCAATTAATACAAATCTATAATCTCTACATTCTAAAAATATTCTCATATTTTTTTTAAATCTACACAATTTCATTGAACAATTCATTAGATTAAAATGACATAGTTTGTATTAATATATCATTTTTAATTGATTTCTATAAAAACTTATTTTCCGAGTTTCTTAATTCAAAAGTAAAATACTTCATCGCGTAAAATAAATTATATTGAAAAAAAATTCTGATATTTATAAATATTCTAATGGGCTTTAAGTGAAAAGGATATACATCAGAGTAATCAGTGTAAAAGTTTTACACTTAATTATAAGTGTAAATACAGTGTTACAATATACTAAATGTATATTGTTAAAGATGAATTGAATAAACGGTAATAATATACGAAATTAATAGCTAACAGTATTAATAATAAATAAAAAATAATTATAACTATATGGTAGTTTGGTTTATTGTAAACATTTGTTTTAAACAAATGTTCGTCTATTGAACATTGTCTGGGATCAGGCTAAAAACCTCCTTATGATGGTGGGTGGAGGCTTGCTGGCAAGTGGAAGGGGCAATGCAATTATTGAATACTGCCCTTTATGTTTATAGTTTTTCCTTTTATTAAACATAATAAATAATGAATGGTTAATAATCTATGAATATTGGAATGAGTGTATGATATAATGAATATATTGGTGTTTCTTCAGTAATGGTGGTGGCGTTAAGTTTATAAGTGTGTTGGAGCGTGATTCCCCTTCTTCCTTGTGGTTGAGTAGTGTAGTGGGGAACTCGTGGTGGTAGGAGAAGCAAGTTAGTGCCGTCTTGGCAGCCGGCGAAGGGGTGAGCTGTAGTGTACGAAGTGGTGGGAGAACGGAGACTCTAGTCCAAGAATAGCGAATGTCCCAATAAAAATGATAACTGTTTTATAAAAACTGTCTATAAAAATTGTCAAAAAAGTATCAATAAAGGTATTTTAAACATTCCCATAAGTTAATAATGATTTCTGCCAATTCAATTTATCCAATAAAAGTTGTTATTATAAATAACATGTAATAAACAGTATAAAATATTCTTTATTATTATTGCTACTATAATTTAGAATTTAATTTAATCGAACGTTTAATTCGAAATATATATTTAATGAGTAACTATGTTTATCATAATCATATATAATCATTTAAATTTTGAAACATAGCTATATTCACTAAGTTTTAATATATTTAATCTGGAAAATTTTATAGATAATATAAATTTTTTTTATTATTAATTTAAATTTTACGTTCGAACTCCGTTAAAACTATGAAGTTTATTATATTTTAATTGTACATGAATGAACTGCCTCTGAAAATGTGGAATAGAAACAAAGGGAATTTCAATGAATAAAGTAAAGATTTTTTAACGATAATCACTAATTTTATTGATATACAAGATATACATCGCGGGTAACGCAGGCGGCACTCCTACAAATATAATATGGCATTGCAATATCTGTTAGTTTCGTCGAAAAATACACCTCAAAATAGCGCGAACGCTTCAATGTTATCGCACGCAATATCTACATTTACTATTTTGTTCGGTTTTTCTTTTATAAATATCCTATTTTATTTTATTTGGAATTGTTTTAAATTCGCGCAATAATTTTCGGTTTATTTTTCGACGAAAGTTTTTTAATAATATCAGTTTTCATATGAAGCCTAGCATTAATTAGATTTTGTCTTGATTGATTGAGCCATTATTTATTTAATTTTGTTTATTTATGTTTTTGTCTTTTTCAAAAACTGTTAATTTTTCGATTGCCAGATGTGACTTGATTTTAATATTCATTCTGATGGAGCAATATTTCTAAATAACAATTTTAGTAAAAGATGGACAATGGTTACTATGTTTTCGATATGCATGAACCACCTTTCATGAAAAATATGTAATTTTTGTAAAAATTTAAAAGTTATGTCGTTTGATTAAGACAGATTAGTATGTCCTCTTATACGATAGATAAAAATAATTTCTCAATTTTATTTACAAAAATCTTAATTCATTCAAAGCAAATTGCTTCCATCAGTTTTACTTATTATGTGTATTTTTAAAGCTCATATTTTATTAGATTTAAATAATACTCAACTCGTATTATTTCCAAATTAAATAATAACATTATATTTTAATATTAATATTTAGCATTTCATAAACAAGCTCAGAAAAGCTTAATCTTTTAGAAATATAAATATAAATATTAAGATAATGATTGAAGTAATGGTTAAACCATTTTAAATTAAGTGATAAAATAACTTTTAAATAACAACAATGTTTCAACATTATTTGCAATTCGCTACTGTATGAAATTATACATTATATTTCTAAAATGTGAATATTATATGTATTCTATTATCCAAATGAAGTATAAATACATAATATAGAATATCATTTTTATATTGAACAAGCTGTATAATAATCATATTAATGAAGTTTCGCAGTTTGAAACTAAATGATCGTAAATGCAGCATTTCAGGCTCTGATAATTATTAAAATAAAAAATATTTTTACGTTGAATTGAATTTTAAAAAAAAAATGTTTCTAAAATTTTAATATATTAATATAAGTAATTTATTTTTTGCGTATACATTTATAATATCGAAAAAATATTAGTATTTGGTGTAATTAGTTTTAAAAATTAAAAATAAATGCAGCATAATTTATAATTAACGTTAAAGATAGAAAAAAACTTTTACCAATTATTTAATTATAATTTTGAATACAATTTCAAATATACATTTCATATACTGTTATTTTGTTACTGGATACATAAAAGTTAATAATATAAAGTAGCTCCTTGGTAATTTAAAAATTTTTTTAAAGCATTCAACAATTTATTACCATAATGTAATAGGAACTTTTGTACCAATTTATTTCTAATTCAATTTTTGTGATTCAATTTTTAATATTACTTCCAAATTTTCATCTCTTATATTAATTGAATAGTATTATTGAATTTCGAGAACATATGATAAAAAAATCTTTAGTATAAATATCACCATGGAGTGGCATTAGTATTAACCATACCATTTTTAAAATGAAATAATACTAACACGTTTAAAATATTAAAAATATATTGTATATTTGAAATATGTTGTTCGCATTTTAATATTTGTTTTGTTTTGGTATTTAGTAGCAGAATAAGCCTTAACGCATTTAAATGTTACAATCGATAAATTTATAAGCATAAAGTGAAATAAATTATGATAATTGATAATTTACATGAACGAGTCTTTCCCGATTTATTACAGTGGTGCAATACAGCTTAAAGATTTAATTTTTATATGGATATTTGAAACACAGAAATCAAATCTTTAATGAAATCTACAAAAATGTTGTACAGATCGCCGGTAAAACAAATACTCGATACAATCGAGCAACTTCAACGTCAGCGCTCGAAAAACGATGATAGAATCCACTCGTATGTACTAACGATACATCTAATAATCGAGATAGCATATCATTTGACAACTAAACCAATGCGACATACTTTCTGGTCCATTTTCTCTCTCTTTAACATTGAGTTATGAAGTCTGTTCATTAACAAAGACTTTTGTCGGCCTGGCAGATGCCCTCGGCAGGGGCAAGGAAAAGTCGCCCATTAGCACAAGCACAAAGCTGATAAACGGCAATGCCTTCCGACTTGTTGGTATTACCCTGGCGCTTTCCCGATGATTTGGTCGAGCTGCCGTGTTCTGGGAGAAGAGCCGTCCTGAGACCTTTAAGAAAGACTCTACGCGATTCAATTGTCACTGCTCCATCACGGCTTGTGAGTTTCATATGTGATAGGCAGGTGGCGCTGATTTCGCCGGCTGACGACTCGACGTTTATTCCGTGTGGCGCTCTCACTTCTAGCGAACGCGTTGCTGACTCTAATCTGAAATGAGAAATAGCCGAGTCCCTATATTTATTGGCGATGGGCATTTGTAAGCTTCGATCTCTTTATTCAACTTTTGCAATATATTATGCAGACAATATTTTTATTTTTGATGTGGTTTGCAGACAAAAATCCTGAAAAAAAGCTGAATTTTAAATGATAACTTAAATTTTCTTAATTTTGACATTAGAAGTGGCATTGCGATTATTTTGGTTTCATGGTCTCTTTAATTTAAACAATAATGAGCAAAAATATAATGAAAAATATCATTATCAATTTATTGATCGTTCCCCGTTTTAGATTTCCTATAATTTTAAATGCTGTGACATGTCGTGTTCTGCTAATTAACTACCAGCCACGAATTTTTTTTTCTGTGGGTTAATTAGAATATATTATTGTTATAAAATATTAAATTATTGTAGAATTAGTATGGTCTTGGAATAAATAAAAATTTGATATGTGACTGTAATTTTTATGAAAAAATTTTGAGAACAATTTTGTAAACTACTTTGTTTAATTTTTTATTTCATATTTAAATATAATTATACATTCATACATACATACATTTTATTGAATATTTACTCGAAATTTGTACAGAGTACTTTAAATTAAATTTTTATTATTGTGGATGTCGTTTATTTCATTCATATATAGTTTGAATCATATGTTGACGAATAGCCAAAAGCTTCTGAAATATATGTTGATCGTAATATAATTTATTATTAATTACTGTTTTGCACACAATTTGGTTATTTGGTTTTCATTTTTTTGCTTTATAAATCCGAATAAATAATGTGTATAGAAATTTTTTGCGTATGTATTTAAGTATTATATTATATTTCTTAGTTTATTTATAATTTTATTCTGCAAATAAATTTTAAAATCTTTATAAATGTAAATTGTTTGTATTTTATCTACCTATCTAATGAGCTTATTTTACATATATACTCTTACATACACACATATATATAATTATATATATATATATATATATATATATATATATATATATTAGCATTGATCATGTTTTATTTCTTTTCATTATTATTATATAATGGGATTATAATGTATGTTTAATTATGTAATTAAGCATTTCATTCACTGTGCGATCATAGCAATCGTATATGTCAGAGAAATAATGTAAATGAATTTGAAAGACTGCGATGAGCATGACTATAGTTGGTAGAAATCATCTATCATCACCTTAAATCACGCGCTGCTTCCGAGCTGACAAGGGGGGTTTGGATGCTACCTTCAAAGACTGCACCTCCAACGCCTGTAACCTTAAGAGTCTTCGCTCCAACGACAACATGTTCGTTGTTCGCGGAGAATAGAAGCTCACCATTGGGATCAGTAATTCGGAATGATTTCGACACGCATTCCAACTTATCTTCACCTATAATGAATATTAATTTTATGCTTATATTTTCTTTCATAAAGCCTTACTTATAGATCACAATTATTTTTCATTATAAGACATAACATTCTAAATACCATATTTAAGCTATGTATATCGGTCAAAAGAATCTTCTTCGATTAATTAATATAACTGATTTATTTGGTTAGTTGAATATTCATTGTTTTTTTCATACCTTTCGTTCTTCTATATTACTTTATAAAATTATATTTCCGCGTATATAAAATAATTTTTCAATGTTAAATTAGAATTTGAGATGCAATTTTTAATTATGAAACTTTAATAAATCTTATTTAATATTTGTATTCGTTTTTATATACATATGAATCTACTAAAAAAATATTAGTGAATGTTTTGAAATACTTACCCTCTTTAGCAAAGTTCCAATATTTTTATGTTCAAACAGTGAAATTAATTACTTCGTAATATTTGTTTTGCAATAAAATTGAACTATGTTATAAAAAATATTTTTCATTATTAATTCAAGTTACACAACCTATATGTATAACTAGTTCAGATTACGTCCGAGGATATGGAATACTGTTACGGTTTTATATCTAGAGGGTAGTGTGAATAACCAATTGCTAACAGCTGACGAAAACTAGCTATAGACACGATAACTTTATAAAACTTAAATCATTCATCATGCATAATAACTAATTTAATAAAATTTTACCTTTGCGTGATCAATAAAATATTTCAAAACTATAACGAATTTCACTTTAAATGTTTAATCCTTATTTGTTACATACATCGTTGGTTCACATATAAATGGCTTAATATGAAATAGTTTTTAATATTGGATTCTAATTAGCTTGTATTTATTGAAATATACTGATTAATAATTTTTTTATCCAAATCTATACTAAGAAATATAGGTAAATATGTATTAATTTTAGAAACAACCACGCATAAGAAACCAAATGTAATATTAGTTGTATTTTAAAAATGTGTAATTATTTTCAAAAAAGTCATATATAAATTTTCATGTAGTGAATCTAATATTTGTAGGCATATTTATTACAAAAGAGTATAATTTTGAATATATTTCAATTTTGCAACGAAGTATCGGAAAGGTTGATTAATAATTAAGAAATGTAGCTTTGAAAAACATAAAAAATCCTGCCCTCTTACTCAGAGTAAATCTTGCAAGAACTTGCCCATTGTTTCCTCTCGCAGATGCAGTGAAGTTGGTCCAGGATTCTAGCATTAAGTTGCTTCCTCTTCTCGACTTGACACTTGAGGCTATCAGGGCATCCAAAATGGTTGCTTGACCTTTCAACTCGACACCACCGGGAATTACTTTTAACGAGCCAATGCCCTCCTGAAATATATAAGATGCGAGCTCGTGAAACAAGGTGTTCTAAGGCTTAGTGTCAATGTTTATATGTTATAAGACGTTTCAAGCCCCCTCCCCGTATTTTTTATTACTATTATATTATTTTGCATTTTGAAAAGATGGATGTTATTAGAAAGTTTATTAGAAAGTTCTAAAATTCGGTATATCACTCTTTTTCTCGATTCGTAATAAATTACAAATTAAAATGATTTTTTTCCATAAATCGAATAAAATGATTGTATAAAAATTTACAATAAAAAGTTTTAATATCTTTACATTATACAAAGAGAAGATAGGAATAAATATTGTAGTTTGTTATTAAAAAAATTGGTACTGTTCATCCAATTGTTCAGGATAATGCTATTATTTTTTAAAATAATTATGAATGTTGGTTTTAAATGTTCAAATTATTAGAATCTATTAAATATTGTAATTTTATTATTATAAAATATGGAATTTGAAAATTTAATTTTTCTGGATACAAGAAATCATTGAGCTATATAAGTAGCTTTGTTTAAAGCTTAATTTTTATATCTATTTCGGATATCCTATGAAGATTTTTGTTTCATAAAGTTACAGTTATTACTACAATTGTACTCTTCTAACTATCTATCAACATATCTTTTTCCATAATGTAAAAAAAGTCCAAATCAGGAAGATTATTACACGAAAAACTTATTAACGTTCATTAACAGAAGAAGTCGAGCAATTACATCGTACTTCCTAACAGGAGAAAGCAATGTAAAATGAAAGTAGGACGTAAGCATATTATCACAGTCACACTTATTCGATTAACTGTAGTAATTCGCTATAATTTTCCCATCTATCGAAATTAGCTTGAATTCGTATGCATTTAGTTACACTGCTCTAGCTAAAGGCCGCTTAATTGAGACCCATTTTGTTATTATGAAAATTAATTGAGCTCACGTGTGTGACGAAATTCATGTACGCACGCTTCTTGCGAGTGCATGAAATTTCTACGCGTTAATGCATATTCATAGAATATGCTTGGGCATTGATTGTTGTTTCTTTCCTACGCGTGAAACTACTGTTTATTATCTACTGTTAATATATTTTAATGATGCATACAATTAAAAGCAATAATATAATTCTTGAATCTAAATGTTCTTCAGAATGGGCTTATTTGAATATATATGTGATTTATAAAGCTATATAGAAATTAATTATGTAAGTATTGATGAAGATTATTAATTGTACCTATTGAAGTTTTACTATACCGATTGTAATAATTTATTTTAGAGAGTGATCACTAGAAATTTAAAAATATTATTTTTACAATCACTAAATATGGAAACAAAATCACGACAATTACGAATACACTTATTTTTATTGTTTACTATAAAAATAACTATTTATACTTTAACTAATTTATGCAATTATTGCTATTAATTTTAGAAAAGAATATTATTATAATTGTTAAGTATAGTTATGAAAGATACAACTCTTACAAATATTTGTTTTATATTTGACAATTTATATTTCATATTTGTTTTATTTTGTAACAAGTTATTTAAAATAACTCGTGAGTTTTAAACAGCTATTACTGATGTTTATATTGACTGTAAATGTTCTATAAATTTATTAAATTTATATGTTCGGAAATTTCTTATGTCAAAGAAAATTTGACTTATTGTATTTATTGTAAATTATTAATTTTCTATACTAAATTACTATTTTTCATTTTATAAATTACCAAAGTAATAAATATTATTAGTTTACTCTTTGGAACTTGAATATTATGGTTTCTTAAGTAAATCACGCATTGAAAATAATTAAAATTATTTACCATCAATTAAGACTAAATTCATAATTATAAAATAATTCAAGTGGATTTTTTCTTCGTTTATCGAAAGAATTATTTTTTAAGATGTCTATTTTTCTATTTTAGACGTCAAATAAAAATGAAATGTATTTTCTAATATGTCATTTATGTCTAATTGTTATTTTCATATAGCTTATATATTCAGCTGAATCATCCTAATCGTATACAAATAAAAATTACGTAGTATCAGAATTAACAGTGGGCAAGAAAAATTGTTTGTATATCGCTTGAATTGAGAGTATAATTAGAAATCCAAGTTAATCAACGTATTTATCTGAGCGTACACGACTATAATCACAAATGTTCATATAGCTTATGATTCGCGATTGGAAAATTGCAAATTCTTTAGATAAATGCACACTAAATATAGGCGATAAAAATTTACTATCTGAAGTATTTGTTATAGGAATTAAATTTATACAAAATCAACTTCATAGATAAGAATAGTTTAAATTTAATCCTAGATCTTTAATATCATAATAGCAAATCATTTTGTATTTTTAATTAGTGTGTACTTTATTATAATTTAATAATATCAAGCAAACTCCTATTATGAGACTTTGATAGTTTTCGAATTTTCGACATTCATAATAAGAAAATTAAAATTTTTAATATAAAAACAAATTAAAATATATATATATTTTGACAGATCATTTTTTATATAATTTTATACATATTTTATTTTTAATCGCATACAAATATATTGATTAATAGCTTTTTTAAAATAGAAAATATGTGTAATTATATATAGATACATGTACTTGTTTTATTAAATTTCAGTTAAATAAATTTTAAAGTTATTTAAATACATCCTTGTATCATACACCATAATGGGCCTTATAGGAAATGAATTACGTTAAATATGAAAATTGAAAAAGCACTTAATAATTTAGTGTATTAATCCATACAATAATTCAGTTTAATAGTTGAATTAAAGTATTTGGCTATATTTAGTTAATTTATTAGCCGTTATGACTTAATAATTTGTCATTCTAGAAGATTCACCTAAAATGGAAACAAGAAATTCAGCTGTGTTGAGCAATGCATAATAAAATAAGAACTCTAGACTATTATTATAGTTATCTAATCATAATGAGTAACTAATATCAAATTATTTTCTAGATTTTACAATTCTTTTCAAAATGTTATTAATTTTAATTAAAATAAAAATAAACAATAAAGAAAAAATTAATCTTTAATTTTATAAAATTTACAAAGTTTTAAATTAGTATTATAGTATCATTAAAATAATGTAAAAATTTTATTTAGAATAGTTTTTTTTTTAAATATTTTATAAAGTATTAACAACAGTTTTAATACGATTTAAATGAATATAAATAGGTTAAATACACCAATATGAAAATCTGCAATTTTAAGAGAACTTTTACTATGATATTATTTTTATTATTTTTGATAAAAGATGTGTAAAATGAAAGAGGGAAAACATGGCTTGAAAATCACGTTTCCGTCATTTGATATTGTTACATCGCTCAATGGGAAGTTGCTACTCTCAACGACTGATGCGTCGTTATTGCATTGACATTTTCTAATTATAATATTCTAGAAGATTAACTGACTTTTATCTATGATGTGCGTTTTAAGCAACAGTTTTGGTATTGAATTTACAATGTTTTAAAAGGTTATATTTAACCTTTTTTTTCAATAATTTACAAAGCCATATCGGTATACAAATGCCTCTTAAGTTAATTCGAAATATTTTTTTGACTATTTAATGACAACATTTTATAACTTTGACGGTAAAGTTTATTTTGAAATTTAAATACAAAAAAAATAATAAAGTGTATTATAGACTTTATTTAAACGTAAATACCATAAGTAAATCTTGATATTTTTACATTTCTAAACAATATATAAGATTAATCAAAAATACTTTTGACAAAGAAAAAGTATAAATCAATGTAAGTATTAAAAGTATTTGATTAAGTTTTAATTTTTCACTTTTTGTATTATTATATATTGTTGTATTAAATATATATTGGTGATATAATAAGCGTATAAACCAAACATCGGAATTATATATATATATATACTAAATAAAAAATGGTTATATAATACTTATTAATTAGATATTATTTATTATTATTATATATTATACATTATTATTATTATATATTATTATTTATTATTAATTATTGATATTTATTATTATATTAATTATTAATTCTACAATCAAATTTCGTTATTAATAATTCACGATAAAATAGAATATAACTATTACAAAATATAAACTATTGTACAACATATGCAATAAAAACAGGTATACAGCTACAATTCTATCGAATTAGCTAATTTAAAAATATCTCGACATATCTTATATTGCTTTAACCGCTTAGTACAGTGAAAGAAAAAAATAGGCGTTTTTAATGAATATGGCAAACGACGAATCAAATGGCACATTCTTTCTCTTATTGGAATTATGTACTGGTGTTCGAACAGCCAATGTTCGATAGCTTATATTTGTTGCCCGCCATAGGAAATGCTTGGGAAGGAGTTAAGTGGAAGGGCTGTAGAAATACAGTATGTTCTTCTTCAATAAATATGGTTTATTATATTTTATTTACAATTACATTATTAATCTGTTGGACGTATCCTTTCTTTAATTACACAGATACGGTTGCTTGGAACGCTTCTTGTGACGGATGTTTCACGACACAAGATGCTGCGTGATGACTATTGTTCGAGAATGAAGCCAGTTTCAAGACCGCCGATTGTCGGCATCGCCTCGCCGGCCCTTTCAGATCTCAGATTTCTGTAAACACTTGTATGAGAATTTTTCGTCTACTTGTTATGTTTTGGTTTCGAGTGGCCCGTAATGTTTATATGGTCTTCTTTCGTCGAATTCTCGAAAGTTCTAGATTTTTTTCTACGCCTCGTGTAAGATTCCAGTGCAACAACGACGATGCTTTATTGTCAGGCAAGTGAGCCGCCGGTGCATATATAAGGCAAGCACGCGGCGCGCCTCTCTCTCTCGCTGACCGGTCCTCTTGTTGACCGGTCCTCTTGTTGACCGGCCCTCTTGCTAACCACCGTTGCTCAACTGCGCTTGCGGCTAACATCTTGTCGTGACCCGACCATAGTGAACCGATCTAACCATCTACCAGTAGAAGCCATGGCACACGGG